TTTCGTTCCTTGTAGGTATCTGGATATAGTTTCAAAATTTGTCCATAACTAGAAAGAACAGAGTCCAGAGAGTGAGATATTGAGGGCTTTCCGATTTCGTGGAGGTTCATCTTAAAGTTAGATAGGGAGCACATAAAACGCGATCCTATGTTCTTGTAGAAAGGAAGGAAAAGGAAGTAAGCGGTTCCGAGATATAGAAGAGAAGGTCATCCGCGTATAAGCCGCAACTTTGTTGGAGGAAGGGTTCTAAAGTAAGAACAAAGAGGAGAGGTGAAAGCCAGGCAACCCGTCTGGTGCCATTAGAGATGTAACAAACGGAACACTCGGAATTAAAAGCCATTGACTTGCACACGGGTTGTTGAAGGGGATGTATTCAGAGCTGATATCCATAATATCGGGGCAGGCATGCTGAGATGTTTAAGATTCCTCAATAAGGAAAGTCCAATTGACTCTTGTCAAAACCTTTTCAGCATCGGTTGACAGCAGTAAAGGGGTGTTTTGCAGTTTGGCCGGTGCTATGATGTTCACTGTTCTGATGGTACTGTCCCGTGCTTCTCTGGATTGAATAAAACCCATCTATCATTCTTCAATGCCTTATTATCACTAGATCATTATCAATAATCTTGTTGCAAGAAATTTTTGGTAAACAATTTCAACGTCGTAGTTCAGCAGAGACATACAGCGGTAACTGGCACAAAGGAGGGGATTCTTTGTCTGGATTCGGGATCACAGAGATATTTGGCCCATAGGAGGTTGGGAAAAGACCCTGGCCTTCCGTAATAGCATTAAAAAAGTGTTCAGAAAATTAGGTGAGTGAGGAGGAAAGCTTTGTAATATGCAATGACAAAGCCAGCAGGGCCAGGGGGCTTTACCTGGCTGGGTGGTCGATACGGCTGCTGTCAGCTCATCAGCCGAGATCGGTTGTGTCAGGGATTCTCATTCATCTCGTGTAAGCACAGGGAGATTGGCTTCTCTTAAATAATGTAGCGATGTCCGCAAGCTGGGGTCGCCTACTGGGAGGCGGAGGATGGTGAGTCTTAGATTGTAAAGGGCCGAGTAGAATGTGCGAAAAGCCTTTGCTAGCTCCAGAGTGGAATGGATTTTTGTTTCCCGATGGAGAATTTAGAGCAGAGACAAATGATCATGTATTCTGGGCCTTCAAAGCTCTAGCCAGCACGCGACCACGTTTGTCCCCATATTCGTCATAATAACAGCATTATGTCCTCAAAAGGATATGTTTAGCCCCGTAAAAGTGAGTGTTCCCCTGATCGACTCTCAAACTTTCGTGAGCTCCACTTCCGTGAGCTGGGTCAGGTTTAGTTTTTGTGCCATACCTTCCAGAGTATGTAGTCTAGTAAGCATAGGTGGGTTACAGAGATTGTAGTCTGCGTTGTTTGGCCGCGCATGTCCATGTTTAATGAGGATACCTCAGATGTAACACTTATATGTGCCAGCCACACAGAAAGGAGGTTGGCAACTGATCCGGAATTCGTGGAAAAATAAACATCTAATTCGTACAGAAATGTCGGCTACTACATCAGGGTCTTTTTAGCAATGATTCAAGGGGAGACAGCGGCGTCTCTGGATGTCTTTGGTGGGGAGTAAGTTCTAGGGGACATTGGAGCGTAATCAGAGAGCACAATATGATCATATATCAGTTTTAGAGGAATGTTGTATGAGAAAGAAGTTGATCCTAGAATAAGAACCATGAGAGGGAGAAAAATACGTGTAATCCCATTCTTGAGGGTGGAAGATCCTCCAGATATCGACTAATTGTCGTGAGTGAAGGAGATCATTGAGATGTAGTTGCAGTCACTTAGGAAAGGGCAGCAGATCCAGCTGAAGAGTCCTATTGAGGGTCAATGGTCAGATTGAAATCCCCTCCAAGTATAAGGGTGCCATCTAAGAAGGAATCGAGAGTAGAAAGAAACAATTTGAGTCGGCAATTGGTTAGTATTCGGTAGGTATAACATTTGCCAGAGTGAATGGTTGAGTATAAATTTTCCCTTTCGATAGGAGGAATCTGCCCTCTGGATCATGGTACTCATCCAGGAATTGCCAGGGGATAGATTTAGCAATCAGTATACTCGTCCCTTTGCATTTGGAAGACGGTGAGGGGCTGTGATACACCGTGGGGAAGTTTTTGTTAGTAAGTCTCTGGATTTTATCAACACTGAAATGGGTCTCTTGTAGGAAGACTACCTGAGCCCTCAGTCCCCAGAGTTCAATGAATTAGCTAGTTCGTTTCTCTGGGGAAGTTAATCCCTTGATGTTCCATGAAACAAATGTCACAGCCATAGACTACGGAGCTTGAATAAACTTGTAACACAACCTCAAACGTGGGGAGGGGTATGCAATTAGAAGGATGGGTAGTGGGAAGGAGAGAGAGACAGTGGGAAAAAAAAAAAAAAAAAAGAAGGGGGGGGGGGGGGGAGAGAAGGAGAGGAATAGGTGAGGAAAGGTAGGGGAAAGTGGGTGAGAAAAAAACTGAGAGAAGAAAGGAGAGAAGTGGCAAGGAAAGAGACGTCAAGTAAAAAGAGAAAAAAGAGAGAGTAGATAGAAGGGAGAGCCCTATAGGTTAGAGGTCGAATGAGCGGTTCTATTGCCACTCAGGCAGAGAGTGGCTACAGGGGGAAAGCGGTAAGGCACAGTTGGAAGTCAAGCCCCGAACCCAAGGGGGCCCCCCATCCGCACCCACAGAAGTACTAGAAACGACAGTGTCAGAGCACTCTACAAGATCTCCATCCTGCAAGAGAGCGTAATGGTCAGAATCAGGCACCTTCAGTGGATTGCATTTTAGCATCTCCTTAGTATTATTCCTGGGAGGTCTCTCTGCGTGGGTTGTATTCTTGGGATCGCACTAGGGGGGAACTGACCTGCGAGAATAGCCATCACACAAGTGTTAGGAATGGACTGGCCAGCAAATGGTGGGACTCACCTGCCTTTTGATCTGCAGTACCAGGGCTGGCCAGCGGGTGCTCCCAGCAATCAGAGACTCACCCTTTCAGCCAGCTAACACCTGGAACTGATGATTAATGGTGTATTTAAGGGATGGCCAGACTTGCAGACTCTGCCTTGGTGTTGTGTTTGTCCTGGGCCCTGTATCTGTCCTGCATCCTGTTTCTGTTCCTTTGCTGACTTCTCCTGCTCTGATCCTGGCTTGTGACCCTGACCATCCCTCTGTCTGACCCTCTGTACTACGCTGCTTGCTACCTGTTCTGATCCCTGGCTTGTGACCCGGACCATCCCTCTGCCTGACCCTCTGTACTATGCTGCTTGCTACCTGCTGAACCTGGCCTGTGACCCCGACCATTCTCCGCTTGCTCCCCTGTACCTACCTGCCCAATTGATATTGACCCGGCCTGCCTGACGACGCTTGCTTGTATGTACTGTTATCTGTGGGTGGTTTGGTTTGGTTTGTTTGCACTGTATTATGTTTTAGTATTGCACTGCGTTTATGTTTGTACTGTTAGTGTTAATAAATTATATTGTTTATAACATATCTGAGGTCTGCGTTTCCCTGCTTCAGTCACACACCTCTGGTCATACCTGGGAGCCCTGACATTACACCAAGGCCAATCCTGACCAGAAGTGGCTGCACAGGGAAGCCATCTTGGCTTGTTGATGGGAAGGATGGATCTTGATGAGGTTGAGTATTTATATCTGCTAGTGTTTGATGACAGGGAGTATGCTTATCAAACTCTGAAGCAGTATACCCGGGATGAATTGCTAGAATGTATACGGCTCGCTCATGTTCTAGTAGATCAGGGCACAGTGTTCTCTGAGGTGCAGCCATTGATTGAGGTTTGTGCAGAGTTGGTTTCATCTGGTTCCCCCGAATGCAGGGATGAATTTTTGCCACCATTTAGTGCAGACCAGGTAGAGTCCCTGGTGTGGTTATTAGAGGATGATGTGGGTTACTTTCTGGAGCGTTATTCCACATGTTCACCACAGACACTAAGAGATTGTATAAACGCAGTGCAGTCATTGACCAGACAGGCTTTGTGTAAGCTCAGCTTTGTTCAACCCCTACTGCAGACATGGACAGACTTTGTTGCACCCAGCCTCAGTCAGCTTACAAAGACCCAGTCCTGCTTCTAACTCTACTCCTGTATTCCCACCAGCTCCTCCAGTTACAGCCCAGTATACTTGGCTATCTACCGCATGTCAGTACCCTGTTCCCACTCGCTGCACCTATCCTGCCTTTAACCCTGTAAAAAAGCCCTCTGTAGCAACTGCTCCCTCTCCTGTTCCATCCTCCAGTTCTTCTCTGTCTCCAGCTGCTCCATTCGTTTGCAGACCTGCGTTTACTTGCAGTGCTCCAGTAGTTAAAACCAGAAAAAAGCGAAAATTCTTTCCAACCAGTACCATCCTGCCAGTATCCAAACCGGTGAACCTGCCTTCCGTGGTTCAGACTGATGCCTGTACGCAGCCTGATGCCTCTACTCGGCCGGAAGCCTCTACTCGGCCGGAAAGCCTCTACGCGGCCTGAAGCCTCTACGCGGCCTGAAGCCTCTCCTCAGCCTGAAGCCTCTACTCGGCCTGATGCCTCTACTCGGCCTGAAGCCTCTACTCGGCCTGAAGCCTCTCCTCAGCCTGAAGCCTCTACGCGGCCTGATGCCTGTACTCGGCCTGAAGCCTGTACTCGGCCTGATGCCTCTCTTCAGCCTGAAGCCTCTACTCGGCCTGAAGCCTCTACTCGGCCTGAAGCCTCTACTCGGCCTGAAGCCTCTACTCGGCCTGAAGCCTCTACTCGGCCTGAAGCCTCTACTCGGCCTGATGCCTCTACTCGGCCTGATGCCTCTACTCCACTCGGCCTGATGCCTCTACTCGGCCTGAAGCCTCTACTCGGCCTAATGCCTCTACCCAGCATGATGAACTGATCCAGCCTGACGATCCTATTAGGCCAGTTGACTCGATGCCCGCTGTTGATCCAGATGATCCGGTACCTGATCCGGTGCCCGCTGTCGTGCCAATTGACTCAGAGCCCCGCTGTCGTACCTGGTGACTTGGTGCCCACTGCCTTGCCAGATGACGCGGTGCCCGCTGGCAAGCCAAATGACCTGATGCCTGGTGACCTAGTGTCCGCTGTCATACCTGATGACCCGATGCCCGCTGTCGAGCCAGACAATCCGGTACCTGATGACCCGGGTGCCCACTGTCGGGCCTGTTGACTCGGAGACCACTGCCTTGCCAGATGACGCGGTGCCCGCTGTCGAGCCAAATGACCTGATGCCTGGTGACCCGATGCCCGCTGTCCAGCCAGACGATTCAATGTCTGCCCCAGTGCCCGCGGTCATGCCAGTTGACTCGGAGCCCACTGCCTTGCCAGATGACGCGGTGCTCGCTGTCGAGCCAAATGACTTGATGCCTGGTGACCCGATGCCCGCTGTCCAGTCAGACGATCCAATGTCTGACCCAGTGCCCGCGGTCATACCAGTTGACTCGGAGCCCACTGCCTTGCCAGATGACGCGGTGCCCGCGGTCGAGCCAAATGACCTGATGCCTGGTGACCCGATGCCCGCTGTGCCGGTCAGACGATCCAATGTCTGACCCAGTGCCCGCGGTCATACCAGTTGACTCGGAGCCCACTGCCTTGCCAGATGACGCGGTGCCCGCTGTCGAGCCAAATGACCTGATGCCTGGTGACCCGATGCCCGCTGTCCAGCCAGACCATACAATGTCTGACCCAGTGCCTGCGGTCATACCAGTTGACTCGGAGCCCACTTTCGTGCCTGGTGACTCGGTGCCCGTCGCTCCGCCTGGGGGTCCCGGCACCTGCCACTCCGCTTGAGGGCCCGAGACCTGTCGCTCTGGGGGGGGTCCGGCGCCGCCGCTGCCTCCGCCTGAGGGCCCGAGACCTGTCGCTCCATCTGGGGTCGGTGCCCGCCGCTCCGCCTGAGGGCCCGAGACCTGTCGCCTCCTCCTGGGGGTCCGGCGCCCGCCGCTCCGCCTGAAGGGCCCGAGACCTGTCGCTCCGCCTGGGGGTCCGGCGCCCGCCTGCTCCGCCTGAGGGCCCGAGACCTGTCGCTCCGCCTGGGCCCGAGACCTGTCGCTCCATCTGGGGGTCCGGCGCCAAAACCGCCAGCTCTGACCTGAGGGCCCGAGACCTGTCGCTCTCTCCTGGGAGTCCTGCCCGATGTGCCTCTGCCCGGTGTGCCTCTGCCCGGTGTGCCTCTGCCCGGAGTCCAGCCCGTGTGTGCCGCTGCTCTGCCCGGATAGTCCTGCCCGGTGTGCCAGTCTTTGATATCCCGCCAGTTAACCAGACCCGGGCGGTGGGACATTTAATTCATTTTTTTCCCCAGCTAGGACTGTTTGGAGAGCGTCCTGAGGGCCGCTCCTTGAGGGGGGGGGGGTACTGTTAGGAATGGACTGGCCAGCAATGGTGGACTCACCTCTGCCTTTTTGATCTGCAGTACCAGGGCTCTTGCCAGCGGGTGCCTCCCAGCAATCAGAGACTCAACCTTTCAGCCAGCTAACACCTGGAACTGATGATTACTGGTGTAATTTAAGGGATGGCCAGACTTGCAGACTCTGCCTTGGTGTTGTGTTTGTCCTGGGCCCATGTATCTGTCCCTGGCATCCTGTTTCCTGTTCCTTTGCTGACTTCTCCTGCTCTGATCCTGGCTTGTGACCCTGACCATCCCTCTGTGTCTGACCCTCTGTACTACGCTGCTTGCTACCTTTTCTGATCCCTGGCTTGTGACCCCCGGACCCATCCCTCTGCCTGACCCTCTGTACTATGCTGCTTGCTACCTGCTGACCTTGGCCTGTGGACCCCGACACCATTCCTGCCAGCCTTGCTCCCCCTGTACCTACCTGCACAATTTGCATATTGTGACCCTGCGGCCTGCCCTGACGTCGCCTTGCCTTGGTATTATACTGTTATCTGTGGGGTGGTTTGGTTTGGTTTGCCTCTTTGCACCGTTATTTAATGATATTTAGTATTGTCACTGCTGTTTGATGTTTGTACTGTTCTTAGTGTTAAATATATTGATTTTGTTCTTATAATATATCTTGCAAGGTTCCATAGCTTGTTCTCCCTGCCTTCAGTCACACACTCTTGGTAGGGAAAGCAAAAGCTAATAGTGCATATTGCATTATAAAAAAAAAGGCCAAAAGTGGGGTTTTATAAAATTACCCGGGGTTATCGCGGGGGTCGTCCTGGTGTGTAGTTTGCGTCAGTTTCTTCTGGATCTGCGGTTTGTCAAATCTTTCCCTTGCCTGGGTGTTTGCCAGGGGGGGCCAGGTGCTTAAAAGGACCGTTAGGAACTGGAAGGGGGTCCTTTTTTGGGAAAAGGAAATAGGGTGGAGATTGTGGCTGGCGATGGAAAAGTCCAGTTTCCCTTCCACTATTAGGTGACCCCCTTTGGGATGTCATCCCCCCCCAGGATTTAGTCAGGAGGTTTAGGGGGTTGCGCATCAGCAAATTTTTTTAATGAATTCAGTAGTAGGGGGAAAAGGGTCCATTAAATTCGATCTCCCCTTCTCCGTTGTTGTAAATCTCTTCCTTGAGTCAAAATGAGTTTAATATAGCTTTATTAAAGGGGATTTTTCCAATCGTGGGGAACCCGAACCCTTCTTTGCATCGTGGGGCTGGTATCTACCCCTGAAGATTTTTCAAGATTTGTAAGAAAGGGCTTCCTTAGCTCAAGGTGGGGGCCTAAGCAACCAAGACGGGACAACCGGTTTCGATGGGCTTCTGCAAGGAAAAAGTGCAAGTTATGGCCTCTGTGGTTAGACTACACAATCAATGTTCAATTTGGCATAAAATCGCATGATTGTGGTGAAATCCTCCCCTGAAAAGACAAGACCCCGCTAAAAGGGAAAAAATTCCAAACCCTCAGTTCGGCCCTTTAAGGAATGCACCACAGGGGAGCACCAGAACAAATTTGTGGACCATGAGCTAGAGGCAAACGGGCAGTGGTTACGGTCTATTGTTCTGAGATCAGAGAAAAAAAAAAATATATCCCTTCTCTTTGGACCCCAGCAAAAAAAAGGACATGCTGGGATAGGAGGGCTTTCCGTTTTCAGACTGCCAAAAATTTTTGTAGGCAACAGTCACCCA